ATGCTCTAAAAGTAAGAGAGACAACTGATAGAAAGAGAAACTCTTCGATCAGCTAGGACCAGCTGTCAATGCAAGGGTTAGGGTGGGTTATTTTATAGTCCTTTTGGGAGCAACTGTGACCGATTGCAGAGACTTCGACATCGAGCGGCTCATTCCAGCGACTGAAACACTGGCAGTTTAGAAAGTCGACGCCAAACTCTAAAAGCTGAGACGTTCCAAAAATCAGCCTTACTTGTTGGACTTTGACGTAGATTGCCAGGTGGGTTGCACAGTCTTAACCCGCATGAAATACCCTTTTTATTTCCACAGAGTCATTTGACTATCAAATTCAAGGGCAAAATTCGCTCGAGCACGAAGAGGTCTTACCTGGGGCTGAACAGTACACTTTGTGTTTTTGGATGCGATTGGTAAATGACTGGGTTGAAGATAAAAATCTTGTGGTGACAAGTGCTAGACTTATAAATCTTCGAATGTTTGCAGTCAGCGGGTTCTATTTCTGGAATGAATATACGTGGGTTGGAGAGATGAATTCTCTAAGATTTATGTGGAACACATCACCATCAAAAGCTTTTATATTGTAAGATCAATTTTGTCTTTCGTACATAAAACATTCACGCGTGTGCTTGTCAGATGCTTCGCTGGTTAACAATAGCTTCATTTCCATATTACACAGCAGCTGTCGAGACAGTGATTATGAGCACTACACAGTATTCAGATTTACTATAAGGAGGATAAAACTCAAGTGGTGCTTGGCAGGTGTAAAAATGGGGACCCGTGCTTGTTTGCATGTGACGTTATCAATTTTCAAAAAAAAGCCCTCCTGAGTTTTAAAAGTGTTATCGGATAGTTTAGATTTAAAAGACGGGCGAGAAAGCTAACATGTAGGTGAAAAAATTCATCTTAACCCTCGGACGGACGTACATGCAAATTCATACCCCCACCGTGGTACGGAGGGGGGGCGGGCGGATAGACCCTCCAAGAGTGTTTGATATGTTGCAGTATTTCGAAAAGATTTTACCTTCAGCGAAAAGCCTTTGATCTTCTCCACAAGATGAGGTATATTTTATGGGTGGTAATGGCCTGTGACGTCACCAACAATGGTCGCCATCTTGGATTTTACCAAGAATTAGAAATCAGGCAAAAACCGGGAGAAATGGTGACTTTTTTGTACTTGAGATGAACAATAACACATAAATAAGCACTTTGCGTGATTTTAGCCACAAGATGTACTTTTATTGTCGAAAAAAGTTGAAAAAGCTGTACTTTCACTCAAAAATGGCTTGAACGCCTCCTACTTATCACGTCATATCTCTTAACCATGGAAATTGACCATCACTGAACTTGACTCAAAATGCGCGAGAGGGATGAACGAAAAACTACGCAAAACATCATGTACTGATGTCTTATCCTCTAGGAGAAAACTCAGAAAAACTTTAGGTATCCACCCCCCCTTGTTCGTCTGAGGGTTAACAGTCCTTATATTATAAAAAATTATTATCTCTCGAAATATGTCAATGATGAAAATTGGCTGTCCCTGAAGAGTGGTTAAATTGTTAGTCTTCTTTCAACTCTATGATTCGATTTTTGCTGGGAGGGCAAAGGTACTGGTAATACGTTTGTGTTCTCGACCATATTGGAATGAACGGTACCCCAGCTGCAAGGTTATGGGGGGCACTCGGTCAGTATTTACGCGCGCTTTTCGGGCAAACAGAGAACTTCACTGAATATTTCTCGGGAAAAAGGCCATCATTATTACATCCAAACTCGGCACAACGATCTTTTTTTGCCATTACAATTTTTTTCTAGGAAAACTTAAAGAAAAATTGGCCCGGAAAGCGCGCGTAAATACTGAGTGAGTATATCGGATCGTGCTCATGCCCCCTTGACATCCCATAATACTCCTTAAATCTAATGAATTCAATATGGCCGCCGTATCGGTAAAAAGGTTTATTTGTCAGCATTGTTTAAAATGTAAGCATTGTAAATTTAATACATATCCTCCCTTGATATGGATAATGTTCACAAGTTCTTTGGTGGAGACTCCATTTAGACAACTGTTGTTTCTGGTGCCTTTAAACTCTAAATATAAGCGCAATCAAGGCTCCATGAGGAACAAAGAGCTTGCATTGATCTAGTTTTTTTTTGTACTCTGACTTAAATTTTTCAATTTATTTAGCATATACTTGCAGAAGGAGTCTCTTGGGGACAAGAGCTGGCATCAGGTGTGCCATGCCTGGTCTAGCAGAACATCTGCTTGGGCAATTTACATGGATGGAAACGAGGAAAAGACAGGACTCTACGATTTTAAGGATACAACTCAGCTTAAAATATCCTTCCCGAATTGGGAAACATTTCTAGGCTCCAACCAAATTTTACTTTCGCAAGTGAATATTTGGAATCGGGTTTTAACCAGCCAAGAAATCAAAAGATTGTCTGGAAAATGCGACGCAGGTGTGGACGGTTTGGGCAATGTGGTCTCGTGGGCAGACCTTTATGACGTGAGTAAGACTGCAGTGTTCTCTAAGCCATCCACATGCGAGGCGCATTCAGGACAGACCCAAGACAAAGCAACGACAACTGCTACCCAGGGACATAAGCAGGATTTTCCCATAGGTACGCGCAATTTTCCAAAGGCGTTTTCTAAGAAAGAGTCTGTTAGTTTAAATTTATTATAAAAGTGTGATAATCTGGTGAAAATTGTAACATGTGGCAGTAGCATATTGAAACCAAAAAGTCACACAATGAATTGAATATTATTTCAAACATCGCCTTTAGACTGCCCGTGATTTGCACTGTTCCCTCTTCACAACAAAAGAGGTACTTTTTTGGGAAAAGTAGTCATGCAGAAGAGTTACATGCAATTATCCTGGTCGCAAATCTCTTGAGTGGAGATTAGCAGACCTTTTTAGCTGGCATGAACGATTTGTTTCCCATTTCAGACCAAGTCAAGTTACCCCGATAGAACCGGGGTAATTTTCAATTTTCGTCCTCTCCACTTGCATGCATATGTATGCACAATTTATGAAAAGACCAAAGGTAAATTCCCTTGAGAACATCACGTGGTCTGGATTGGGAAAATAAAACGTACAAGCTAAAAGTGTCTTTTTACATTCATTTTTCCAGCAAATTTTACAATAAGGCTAGTGGACATGCATGATTTGGTTTATGGCATCCCTTCCACATATAACGCCACTAGCTAGTGCTGACCTTCTCTCGATAACAATGAATCGTGCTCGCTCCAAATTAATAAAGGATGGGGATGCCTGTCGTCTTGCTTTGGGGTGTGAATTGCATATTGTGGGCTCACGTTGTGTCTTAAGGACAGAAAAAAAAAACAATATTAATTATTACCCATACAGGTGTAGCCTAGGCTGAAACTGTATACGGAGACGTTCGTTTGAGACTATAAGGCCACGTCCACAGGTGTCCCGAAATTTTTGAATCCGCAGATTTGTCTTTGAGGATTCAAACGTTTTCACGTCCACACGTAGCGTATTGAAATCTAATTTGTCCGGATTCACTCTCATGCGATATGTGGTGTGGATATAAAAACTAATGCCCAAATGAACAAATTTTTTAGAAAAATGCTTTAACATATCGTTCAATATTCATTGGATGAAATGGTCAAAATTTGAATACTTATAAAATTTGTGAATGTTAAAAAACTGGTTATAAGATTGGGCCACTAATACTGACAAACTAACAAGTAATTGCAGCTGTAAATTAGCTTTCTGTTTGGTATTCACAGAACCAGACGATTTCAACATCGACTCCAAAAGTGTTCATACAGAGGATGAACCAGGTTCAGGTGCCCTCAGGAAATACAAGGGAGATTCAAAAGCCGGTCATGCTCGCCGACATTTTCCTGTAGTGTCTACCCACCTACAAAAAAAGCACTCCAATAAAATGTAGAAAATGGTAAACGTCTTTTCTCAGTCTACTTGACAATGCATATAAATAGAGAGGAAATGGCCTGAATCCGTGATACACCATTAGAATCAGTAGATCGTCGTGGCAGTGCGACAAGAAGAAAGTCCATGATCATAGTATTTGATCAATTCTATAAAATTTAAGTGGATCCAAGAATTTTTGTGGAAGGAGATCGAACTACTCAGACTCGCCCTCTCACGATGCGCACAGTGAATGATATTCATTTTTAAATGATCCATCTTTGAAATGTCAGGGGCACCCAACGACTGTTTTCTGTAAAACATCTGTTCGGAGAAGCAAATATTGCCTACAATTTTCTATTACTTGAGGACGGCTAAAAATGTGTAGATGACAAGTTAGGCTATTTCTTGTAGAAAAAATGAAACCTAAACTTTTCGGATTCAAAAATGAGATGGAGAGAGAAATCAGAGAATGTCTCACTTTCGTGATGCGTGGAGAGTGCAGACGTGTGAAGCTGTGCTCAAGAAAATTCTTTCTAAATTTTAATCAAACAAATTTAGAATCTCATGTCAAATCAGTAAGATTCCTGCTGAATAAGCCGATAAAATGAGTGAACCGTCGCCCAAAAACAGAAGCAAAAAAACTGATCAAGTTCATGAAGAGTCCCTAGTTATCAAAGATGGCGTCGACGAACAAGAAGGTGATGGCGACTATGTAACAAAGGAGTATATATATATGAGATGATGAAAATGTACGAATCGTTGTTTCGAAATTTATTTGATTCATTGTTGACAAATGTTAACAGCAGAATTGATGGCGTTATTAAAGACCTGGCTGAGCTAAAATCTAGCCTACAGTTCACCCAGAAAGACGTTGAAGACCTAAAACCAGTAACCACGCAGGTGACTAAGATTGTCTTAAGATTAACATAAGATTGTTGCCAAACATGCAACTTTCGAACAGAAAAATGAGTTTCTGCAGCGATTTAATTGGTAAGAAGTGAGAAGAAGTCTTGAGATCTTCTAGTAGAGAAAAGGGTTTAGTTCCCCAACAAGACCAAAAACACGAACCAGGTTTAACAGATTAAAATTCCACAACTAACATGGGGA